AGCCTAATAGTAATAGTTTATGGGGTAAACAAGAGCGCCACAGCGATAGACCACAGAAACTGATAAGACGTACCGGACTAAGACATAAAAACGACCAAAAGCCGGCTTGAGGACCTGTCCATTTCTTCGAGAGTCATAAAGTCTAAGTAAAAGTCTTGGCGCATTATTCAATCCCGTCAGAATGATGCGCCACGTATTCGACTTCTACTCGCAATCATAGTGGCGTATTGGATGCATATGTGGCCTATACAATGACTTGCGGTGGCCAGCCGATGTACAAGTCGGTGCTTCTGTCCTCCCACGCGAGCCAGTTAACTGTCTCCGGACGATTGGATGGTCTGGTTGGCCTGGGCGAGTATCGATCCGTGTGATACTGGGCCACTTGTCACTACAACACATTTGCCCAAATAGAATACTAGAACTCAATAAATGTACGACTAGGCCAAAGTGCAAAGTTCCTGCTAGTGGCAGATGAATCATTGCAGATTGTCTCTGTCGTCGTAATTGCCACTGCATACGACTTACGTCCATCAAATAATTTTACACTGTGTATGCGTCCCACTTTCATACCTTCCCCCTTTGCAGACCAAAGAAAAGAAGTGATAAATCGCACTGTTTCTGATAGAATAAGACGTCCATTGAATAGCTACAGCACAAGGAATGTTCGGCCCTCATAAATCGCTCCTAAATGAGAATGTTTTCGCCGAAAAATTGCAATAAATCGTGATCGAGTGTTTGCATCATGCGGCGGACGATTGTTCTGATAAGGGGCAGAATCGGATACAATCAATAACTATACAATGTGGTTTGAACACCTCTCTGGTCAGTGATGTTCAGTTGTGGTCCGTAAAATTTCGAGGTGCACATAATTTCCAAACGAGGAAACTTACTTCAGCGAAACAACGTTTCAGTCTCTGAAACCCTACAACGAACTCTACGTTTCATCCCCCATGCAACACCCATCGAAAACACGAGAACCTCGTCCTTATAGAATTTCAGTATTGGGTACTGGCCTGGAAAGGAACGCGATGAACGTCAGCTGAACCTTTTAAGGATTGGGCACCAGCTCAAAGCACAAAGAAGACGCTGCAATGTTGTGAGACTACGCTTCCGGGTTTTTCGGCGAAGCAGGATTGACCTCCAAATTCCCCGATCTCAATCTTTTGGACTTTGCTATATGGACGATTCTACAGCAAAAAGCCTGCGCTCTCGGACCAGGTCCTTGGACCCTCTGAAAAAAAGCTCTATTGTAGAAGCGTGGGATGAAACTCATTGCGCGCATTCTTGAAAGTTTCCAAAAGAGGTTGGATGCTTGCATTAACTGGTCATTCTGCATGTGAGATGTGATATGTTGTTTACAATCTTGTGATGATTGCATAGAAGTAAATGTTTCCTATTTGGAAAGATTTGGATAATTTTGATGCTAGTTTTCTGCGTTACACTTCATGTGGGTCACCCTGAACACTTCCACACCGACTTGTTTTTTTTTCTTTCTTGGCGGTTGTTTTTCTGAAATTTCCCTGCACATTAGGACAATATAAGAACTCGATCCTCTACACTTCGTGACGCTCCCCATTTCGGCTATTAGCACCCAAACAAATTGCTGCTTTTTTATTGTAGCCGAGAAAATGCCAGAGCTTAACCATCCTAGGTCCTTCGCGGTACCATTCCTTTTCCCTCTACATCGGAAGTCGTTTTACTTGCGAAGTAATCTTTCTCTCGTGGTCTTGAATGTTATTTTCTGCTTTGGCATCAACAAGTATGACGTGAGGCACTTACTTCGCCTCATGATGAACGCCCATTCGCATTGCTGCTGCTTACGACGAGCTCCCATCTGAAAAATTCAAAAAACAATTTGCTGGTCACTTCTTTTGAGTGGGATTCCTGGAGCTCATGAACGACTGTGGTCCTAGAACCATTCCAAAGACAACGAAAAAGAGGTCACCAAGTGGACATACAGAACTGCTTCTAGAGACTCCACCGTACCCCTTCTGCTACGGGTTTAGATCGAATCTCGCTCACACACCGCCCAGAATTGTCTATTCGGCTTTAGGCTAGTTTCAGAGAATGTTATTGCTAAAGTGAAATTCAAGCACCACCAGCAAGATATTACACGAGTAGACATGGGCCGGGACGCACCTCGCGGTGACCTTGTCGAAACTAGGTCATTACATCTGATCGTATCAGGACCTTTCATCTTTGTACTGTGAACGATCTAGTACTAGTACACTAGCCAAGGTCGCCTCTCGTGACCTTGGCTAGTGTACCTAGACCAGCGGGCGCGATGATACCTTTACACCCTTCTTTCATACGAACTCATGGATCAGATCGGAAGTAAGATCCAGGAAACCGAGGAAGGGATGAGAAACTGTGTTCGAGTTTTCCATTCCTCACTCTTTTGAACGGCTTTACTTCAGGATTTCAGGAAGTGTTTCCTTTATAATTATTATTTACTGTATCCATTCATGATTATGGGCCCCCATGACGCCGACGGAGTTTTACGGGAAAGTTCCCGAGAAGGAGCTTAGACGTCAGAAAAGGCGACTTAAGGCGATCAACAGATGCTCAGAATAAGAACGGCGCAATTTCAGCACAATACCTGTTCACCAATGATATCATCAGCGTCCCTCTTATCGTCACTCTCACTGCTGCAAAACTACCTTCTCGATTGAATCTGGTTTGTGTATGATCATAACCTTTGTTTGCACTTTTATTTATCAAATGGAAGCTCCACCCCCTAAGTGATTAATGAGGGTAATAATAAAAGCAAAACCAAAAGGACAAATCTCAGCACTGAGAGTAACGATCACTCGGAAACTGGTTATCGATGGGCTATTTGGCCAGCTACAACTAAGAGAAGTGCAAGATCCAATTCGTTGCACTTCCCCGAACTGATGGGCAAACTCTGCAAAGTTAAGGCGATCTAATCAGCTGTTTATTCCTTGATTTTCGAACCCTACAGCCTGACTAATGATCCTAACTTTTGAGAAAGTTGTTGTTTGATGTGTCACCAGCGTTGTTTTCAACCTACGTTACAGCGTGCCGTTGTTGTTTGGACCGATTCCAACTGATCAATCAAGATCAAATTGCAGAGACGCCACGTTTTTTGACAAGAACGAAAACTTAGGACGAGAACCCGTTCCCTATCTTACGAAGGCCTAAAATGGACGCAGAATCTCACAGACGATATAATACATTTTACGGCACAACTTTATTCAAATTTGCAGATTCTAAACACGTCCAATATGCGATTTACCATCGAAAAAGGACTGCAGGCCAGGGCACAGTTTGAGTGGTTGGGGCTATACTGCACCACGGCCACGTGTTCGTGCCAGAACCCGCACCCCGATTACTGTGGGAATCTGTGGTGTATCTATACATGGATCATAGAAAACCATGGCGTTGATGCTTCGAAATTCTTTCGAAAAGCTTGCGTTATTTCATCGTTGGCGATGGCATAACACCAACAACCTGTTTTTGGCTCGCTCATAATTCTTTCGAATGGGAATCGTGATAGAACCATCGATGGGAGACAGTCATAACCGACGTAGAATGACTACATTTTTGAAAGGCCATGGCTAGAAGTCGTGAAAACTTTCATGAAAAGCAGGGAAAAAGTTAGCAAGGCCACCCTTAATTGACTTTTTTCTAGTTTATCACTCAGTTCACCAAGTTAGCCTGTTACAGCGACATTGGAAATACGTTTTTTCAATGCAGTTTTTGAAGATATTTTACCGCTGGTCGCAGGTGGTACAATGGGAAGTAACGCACTATCACACATGCATGGTTNTTTTTTTTTATGCACTTTCTTCAATATTATGGTTCGAATAAGCGATTGAAAGAAAACCTACCAAATATAGCATAACACAAAGTGTTATTTTTGAATGAATGTTGTCGCATCGCGAACCTTAAATGCCAATCAAATATGTAGATGTTAATTCAAGCGTTTTAAAAAGTGGCAAAAACAAAAAAGAAGGAGCTAGAAGGCCACTTCCGAATGAGATTCGTTCCCGATTTCCATGGTAGTTCAAGAATCACGACATCTTTCACATTCCCTTTCAAAGTAACAGTTGGCCCACATAAAAAGTTCTTACGGAGGAGAAGGCACGTTAGAGTCGCGAGATCGTGGCAGAATCAGGGACAGTAGGAACATAATTTTACACGAACAACCTATATAGTTCCTAGAGACTGAAGGATAAAGGTTAAAGGTCTCGGGTGTCAATTGATTCCGTCTGAGGGATGCGCCCCCGCATTTGACTCCCATTAGAATCGTAGCGCCGGTATGAATGCGAATGTGACCCATACAATGACTTGCGGTGGCCAGCCGTTGTACAAGACAGTGCTTTTATCCTCTCAGACGGACCAGGAACTAATGAACCGACCCTGGAGGCATGGAAAGCCTGTTTGGCCTGGGCAGATATCGATCCGGGATTTGAACCCCGACCAAGTGTTATGGATATGCTGAACCGAGCAAGCAAATGGAAGTGGGTACACCGTATTCTTCATTGTTCCGTAGGAGTTATCCAATACTGCCTCACTAAAACACACAATTTCGCTTATAGTACTTCATGCCGACTTATAAGGAGATCACATTTAGCGATCATCATTCCAATAAAACACTTTATTTCTCAAATAAAACGTCAAAATAAAAAGTAAAATACATTAGGAATAGATAAACTTAGTGATCAACAATGTGGCATATGTACATTCCCGCAAATGTGTACAAGTTGAAATTGTAGCCTTGTAACTGCAACTGACGAATAGACCGAAAGCAACATATGCACAATATTCAGAATTCTCTACAACTCACTGATATACATGTCCACTACACCCAAATCATTGCTATTTACAGTTTCAACATTTCAGATCATTAAACACAACAATTGATATCACTCTTTAATGTAGTCCCTCTTCTTGAAGCTGCAGACGCCGTCTAAACCAACTTATCCTTTTTCATTGAGCAGAAAGACACTACACCCAGAACAGGCAACTAATAAGTGTTATAAAAACGAACCGTCGCCGAGGACCTTGTTCTGGTGTTTCAGGAATTGCTTGAATCGTGCGTCCTGGAAATGACCAGTTCAAACTCTAAAAATCCCACAAGCTCAAAAAAAAGGAAGGCCTACCTCGGTGATGGACTCTCGTTTTTCATCAAATGAGGAACCAAGGATGCTGGACTGCCCCCAGCTGAAACCGCCCGAAGGTGAGCCAAATATCATCTCACTAATGCTGAGTCTACGCGGGCGTGGAACATCAACAGGTGAGCTGACTGAGCTGTAAATTCACATATTCCCTATAAGAAATAGCAGAACATAATTATTCAGCAAGTAACGTACTTGGAGCGGGAGGAATCTATCGAACTTCGCAATCCTTCTGAATCGCTGGATCCTACCGACATGGTACGCTGTTTCATTGACAGCTTTGGAGGCTTCCATAAGCAATCAGTGTCATAATCCATGCGAACCTGAACCAAAAAAATTCTCATGAAACAACATCAACAATAGTCAACAAGCTAGCAAACTACTAAATACCCCGTCGTCAACATGCGCGGGAACAGCGGGCTTGAAAGTAATATTTGCGGTTCCTACTAATTCACTCACAGTTGGTGGCTTGGACATCCTGAAATGAAGAGAGCAGAGTGATACATTCACAAATTTCCAACTCTTATATCTGAGCTACGCCTTCCTTTTTCACTCTCATTCACTCGATGAAAACACTCTCTCGGTCTGTTGCAAGCACGTGCTGTGCCTTGCTCGTAAACATGGGTACACCCAGGGCTATTCGAAAACATGGCAGTTTCTTTCCCACCAATAGGGGGTATTCCCTCAAGCCACAGGTATACATATGGAAAAAGCCTCCACTCTAGCACCCTCGAGCTTTTTCTACTGGATGATGCCTTAAACCATTTTCTCAATCGAAAAGACATCAGAAAACTAATCAAAAATATGAAGTGATAGGTGACACGAGGCGGAGCAGGACCTTTGCAAGTGGTTATCAACAAAAGTGCTCTTCTACTCGTTACACCAACACTTCTCCACGGCGTTTCTTCAACAGATTGATAAAAAAAGGGACGACGCCAAATGATGTGGGAAGGTCCTTACAAAGGTAGCCATACAAATGTAAACTGACTGATTGTGAGAATGGAGGGAGGCGCATGCGGGTAGTGTGGGAGTAATTATGCGTCGACATCACGTTTTCCAACAAAACAACATGGTTTGCGCTTGGGCTTAGTTAACAACAACTACAAATATTCTAAAAATACGCATCCAAGCATAGCCAAAAGTATGACCAAAGAATGAAGGTCAAATGTTGGTGGAAAAACGCTACTTGTCTTGGTTTATACATAACAATAATAATAGTAATCACGTGAAATTATGGCTGATGATACAAAGAGTAAGGGTCAAGGTACAGGTTTTTCTGCATACCTTTCTAAATGTAGAAACAAATGCAGGAAGTACATTTTATTTGAAGCCGCTACAACTGACTCCTATTAGTCGGAAGTCTTTCATCTTTTACTTAGGTAAAGGGCAACAGAGGAGGCTGCACTTTTCGTTGAACCAATGTCACGCGTGTTCTTATCTCTGTGAGCCCATGCAACAACACCCCCTCAGGGTCAGATGACAGCACGTGACAAAGCTTTTCCACAACATTTTTTATTGCGAACACAAGCTTTCCCCCGCTAAATTAAGAATGCTCTGCGAGGCAGAACACTCACCAAGACAAATGGGAAGAAGAATGTTCCTAATATTGCAGTGCACGAAAACACCAACTATTTAATAACAACTATAACCAACAGACCTCTTAAATCCTTTCCCACATAGGTAAAGGTCACCACAGTGGGTTGCACTTGTTTGTAAAGACACCTTTTGTGGTGCTTGCTATCACAATTCGCCGATTTCT